TGTCTCGCACCCCTAAGTGCAGCGTCCTGTATGCTATGTTTATAGGCCTTCCTCTGCTACCTGTGAGCAGATTGAGGCAGACCCATGCCAAATCCCTACACCCTCATCCCCCTTGCTGGCACAGGGTCTGCTTTAGAGGAGAATGCCCAGAAATGTTTACAGGTTGGATGAATGAAATTATTGGCCTTGCATTCGTAGACCCTTTAATATTTTTAGAAATCTGCCCATTCTTTTCTCCATCCTTGATTTCTGCCTGGTATTCTTTGAGTCCCTCTAGGTGTTTCTGGAGTGTGAGAGATGCCTACAGCTATTCTGTTTTTCATGGAGAAAAAAAGGGGGGGGGGAAAATTATCATTCACTGCAGACCTACTGTATTCATCCACCCACTTTATCATCCTGGTGTCTCATAAATCAATTAGGGAGTTTAGGACCCAATTACCAGAAAACGCCAACTCAACCGGCTTAAACAATCAGGGAACTTATTATATTTCTTCTAACAAGACATAAAGCAAGGGTGGCTTTAGAAATGGTGGCTTAACTGTATCAAGAAAAACCCCTTCCTTCTCTCTCTCTTCTCTGCCAACTTTAACTTAATGAGTTTTCCTTTGGGCTGAGTCACCTCATGGCAACAAAATGGCTGCAGCAAATCCAGGCTTAGCATCCTGATGCAATACTGGTGAGGAGAAAGATAATTTCTCTTCCTTGGGCCTCTCCTTAAAGTGGAGGGGGGGGGGATCTAGAAGCTTCTAGAAACTTCCTCTCAAAGCTTATTTCCCAGAATTTTGCATTGCAAGACAATGCTTGAGCCATCACTGCTGAGGGAATTAAGATGATTGTGACTAGTATAAACTAACCAGGATCTCACCTAGAGACATAGGAGGGAGGGGTATATGCTGAAACAAAAGGAGTGTTCTTTCAGCAGCAGGGGAGGAAAAATAAAACAAATATTGAGGAGGAAGCCAGCAGTGTCCACTACACCCTTTTTCATAGTGAATGGGTTTAGGCCGAATTTCAGGGAGGTTCAGTCGCTTGCATACGGTCCCGTGGCTGATAAAAATAGAAGTAGGATTCAAATCCAGCTCTTTAAAACTCCAAAGCCCATTCGAGTAGTTTTTCTGCTGCACAGCTGGACCCAGAGGCAAACCTCCTTTCCCAGAAAAGCCGAAGCCCCCTTTCTGTGGTGAGCGCTTCGGGAGTGGAGGCCATCGCCCTGCTTTCCCCAGCCGACCTTCCGCTGGGCATCTAATCTGCTTATTAAGTTATGACTAATGGTGCTGCGAGACACCGGGGGCTGCACATTCAGGCCTAGTTTTAGATTGTGAGAGGAGGTTCGGCGGATAAACATCATATTCATATTCTGTGCTGAGAAAATTCAATTGCAGCTCTCTCTCTTGCAGGACTCAGGGTTGGCGAGGGGCGTCTGCTGGGTCCGGCTTGGGTTTAATAGGAATGAAACCTCCGAAGCAGGCGGGCTGTTTTGGGAAAGTGGCCGCTAATGCGGCCCCTTGGGGCGGGGGCCAGGCCTGGACCGGGCAGTTTGCATATTCACTTTTACAAACAGTTGGCTCAGAGTCAGCAGTTAATGGGATGGGAATGATGTTCCTGTACCAAATCATTTCCTGAAAAAAACATTTCCAATTGCAAACATATCTCAGCCTTTCTTCTTGGGTTTGTTTTGTCTCTGTGAGTGAATTAAAGAGGCAGGGCAGAGGGGAATATTTCTGATGGGGGATTTTTTTTTTATCTGAAATCATTTTTAACCATGATCTCCAAGTACAAGAGATCCCATTCAGACTGACGTCTAGGCATCCTGGCTGCTAATGTTGCATTTCTGGGCACACGTTAGAGGTATAAAAGTCTCCATTCTCACCAAGTGACTCTGGCTGTACAAAAGTTTTTGGGACACATGCGGCTTTTCTCTCCTTCCAAAACCTAAGCTGGAAATGCTGGCCCAGGAAAGTGTACATGTGCACACATGTACACATACGCACACATACACACATGCACACACAGGGTCAAAAATTTTGCAGGTTTTTCCTGAGGATAAACTGGAATCCTTCTTTACATCTTGTGCACTGCTTTGGCAAATTATGCTTCAACCCATAACCTGGGCAACTGAAGGGTGGTCCTAACAGTTTTGATTATTCATTTATTCCACAAGTAGTTCTTGAGTGCTCACGGCACATGAGGTATTGTTTTAAGTAATAAGAACAATGTATATTTACATAGATCTTACCAGATACCCAGAGAGTCTTTTAAATATGTTACATATATTAACTCATTTAACCTTCTCAGCAACCCTAAGAGGTAGGCAATAGTGTCGTTCCTGTTTTTCAGATAAGGAAACTCAGTATAAGAGGTTGATGAACTTGCCCAAGGTCACATAGCTAGTAAGTGATCTTGGATTTTAATCTAGGGAGTCTGGCTTCTCTTTGGGGAGCCTCACAGTGGGCAAAAAAGAAAAAATGCCAGGCTTCCCATGGCTTCTCTTCTAATGGGAGGGGTAGCTAACAGATCTGTAGCTAATAATGATTTCAGGTCATATTGAGAGCTTGAAGCAAATAAAACGTGAGAGGGTGCAGGGGGCTAATCAGAGGGGTTTCTAGGTCTTAGGATTTGGGGTTTTCTTTTGAGTATGAGAGGAAGTCTTAAAGCAGGAGAGTGTAGGGCCCGGTTTACATCTTTACATATCCATCTGGCTGTGCCATTGGAAGCAGACAGGGTAGGGCTGAGGGGGGAGATTATGCATTAGGAAGCAGTAGACCTGTTAGAAGGTGGTTCTGGTTATCCAGGTAAAAGAGAAGGATGGCCTGAACCAGATGGTGGTGGTGGTGCTGGTGAGCAGCAGTTGGAATTGGGTCCTGGTTTGGAGGTGGAGCCCACAAAACTTGCCAATATATTAGATGCAAAAGGTGAGGGGGAAATGTTGTTATAGATGACTGTTTGGGTTTGGGCTTAAACCACAGTAGATATGCTGGGGCTGCTTAGTGAGGAGGGGAAGAACAGTGTTGTGGAGGTGGGGGTGAGGGTATTGAAAATCAGATTCTCAGATTCTGTTTTGGATGGCTAAATGTGAGACCTCTGCTAATAGAACAGAAGACATCCAGTAAGCTTGTGGCTGTGTTGGGCCTAGGCAGGAGATTTAGATGCAGACATCAGCATACTATTTAGATGCATGGGATCATTTAGGACAATGCTCTCCACTCCTGTGATGATGGAAATCTACATTTGTGCTATTCAGTATGGTCATCACCAGCTACATGTGGGCCATCGAGCACTTTAAATGTGATAGGTACAACTAAGAGATTCAATTAAACATTTTTTTTCCATTTTAGAGAGGAAGGGAGAGGGAGAGGGAAATAAGGAATATCAATGATCAATGAGAGAGAATCATGCCTCCTACATGCCCCACACTGATGATTGAGCCCACAACCTGGGCATGTGCCCTGACCAGGAATTGAACTGTGACCTCCTGGTTCATAGGCCAATGCTCAACCACTGAGCCATGCCAACCGGGCAAAGAAACTAAATTTTTTAAATTCATCTGCATTGAAAGAGCCCCATGTGGCCAACCCCTCCCACACTGGACAGCACAGACCTGGGGGAGAGTGTAGGTAGAGAAGGTCCTGGCCAGTAACAGCCCGTTTCTTCTCCGTCCAGTAGGTGCAGCCTCTCCCCCACATAAAGCGTGACTTTATTTTCACTTCCCATTCTTGCACAGCAGTGCTTTTTAAGGGATGGGAATCTTGCTGCTTTGTGAGAAACAGCCTAGAAAAGAAGCAAACTGCCAGTTCTGGAGGGAATAGAAGACACTATAGAAGTTTAAGGAAACAATTCTTTGGAAAGCAAATACAACCCTGTACCTATAGGATCACTTCAGTCTTTAAGGTATCGCTTATATTTTTCATCATGTTTTATGGGGGAGAATTTTATAGGGTTAATGGGTGTCTTGTGAATTTGGAGATTCAAGACGGTGACTGGCTGATATCCCATATAAATGTCAAGGGCCCACAGCCATGGGATTAAATGCCAACCTTATAAAGCAAGTTGTGTCTCTTTGGGGTAGAGTGCCTTTGTTAGGCAATCTTGTTCTCCATCCAACTGCAACCATCAGTGAGTTTGATAATATGAAAGGACTCTTTGTAAGCGCTGCCTTGTGCTCAAGAGTTCTTGCAAGTACATACGGGCCATCGGTGAGGCCAGAGCCAATGAAAAATAAAATAAAATGGAGAGATGGGACATGGCTTCTATTAAGGTTGATTGCAGTGGCCATGTTCCTTCTTTAAGAACCTTTTGCTGACAGACACTTTCAGAGATAATGTGTTTTGTTTTGTTTTGTTTTGTTTTGTTTTGTGTGTGTATGTGTGCTTGGTTGGTAAAAAATAATTATCCGAACTGGAATTGAATAGAGGATTAAGTCACTGATTTTAGGAGAGATGGGTCTTGGGGCCCTCAGCTCCTTAGAGTTTGAAGGGGGAAGACCAGAGCCTAGGGAGGAGGCTGGACTGAGACTTTCTCACAGGAGCTGGGCGGGGTGAAGTAGGACAATCAGAAAAATACTTGAGGACGCCAAATCAGGAGAGAAAGTTGAGCCGAGGGTGGAGATGGCGTACAGCATGTAGGTAGCCTTCATGTGGTGCGCTCCTTCATCCAGTCAACAGTTGTCGGGCCCCCACAGCAAGCCCTCTGAAGGGAGGGGTGGCGGGACACAAAAGGCAGAGACTTAAGAAAGACTTCCCTGCCCACCTCACTTTCATTTATTCTGAGAGGAGGCAGAGACCTCCCAACTTCCTCTGAGGAAAGGGAATGGGGTGACAGCTGGAAGAGATGAGCTGTAAGGGACAATTCAGTCCTTCGAGCAAGGAGAGCTGGGAAATTGATTGCAGGCTGAGCCACCGCTGTAACCAAACCTGAGTGGTTTTGTTTCTCAATAGCAATATCCAACACGTTTGTCAGATCGGCAGCAGCTGTGACACGACTGTGCTTTCTTCTCCTTGCAGTGTCTGAGCTTCAGGAGGAGGGCATGAATGCCATCAACCTGCCCCTCAGCCCCATCCCCTTCGAGCTGGACCCGGAGGACACCATGCTGGGTAACTGGGTCTCTTGTTCTCTGGGGTAGCCTGATGCCTCCTAGTGGAGCCACCCCCACTGATCCCCTTTTCTTTTTAAAGAGGAGAATGAAGTGCGAACAATGGTGGATCCAAACTCACGCAGCGACCCCAAACTCCAAGAGCTGATGAAGGTAAGAAGAAATTAGGGGCTCCTGTTGTCTCCCACACAACAGGTGTCTATAGACCACCCACCGCATGTAGGCACCACTGCTGAGAGAGTAAAGTCACGTCAGTCCCTGCCTGCAGGCAGCTCATGGCCCAGTAAGTGAACATCTAAGATTTAACAAAAGTGGGACAAATACCCAATGAATTATGCTGATAGTAAGGGTCAGAGAAATTAGATCCTGGCAAATGTGAGCTTATTTGTACTATTAGGCCACACACTCCTTTCACTGCTTTTATTATCGATCCTCAAAAGCTCCTTGTGAAGTAGGAATTGGTTATCAGTCCCCATTTTACAAATGAGAAAACTGAGTCTCAGAGAAGCCAACTGGTCACAGCAGAGTGGAGGAGATGTAATTCAAACACAAATAAATGGTATTTAATGAATTACTGTGCATAATATTTGGCATGTAGGTACCCCTCAAAATGTTCGTTTCATTCCCCCTTTCAATTCCCCATCCTATTTTTTTTTTTTCTTCAACTTCTCCGATTTCAAATAAAACAAGACCAATAGGCACTGGGTGCCTCCTATAAACCCTAGTGTTGTTGCTCAGCCCCTCTAGGTGCTTCTGTGGTCTCTACATTTGGTTCTGTCATTGTAGTCATCCTATAATACTTCGCTGTCTCCTTCACTAAATACGGAGTTTCTTGGAGTTAGAGTGGTTGATTGTTTCATCATTGTACCTCAGGATCCAGCAAAGAGTTTTGACATACAGGAGAGATTAATAAATGCTGGGTGGATGGATGGAGAGGGACAGAGAAGTGAGGAACACACAGAGGGTCATAGTTAGTGGGTAAAGCTGGGTTTCAACTCCAAAGCCCATACTTGGCTCAGTACAAAGCCACACAGCCAAACACGGTGACTGTTGCTTGCCGTTAGGGAAAGGAACACTGGTATCACCAGCACTAGAAGGGCTTACGCCTGAGAATTAGCAGCCCCATTGGGGCTCACACTTGTGCATCTTCTTGTCCACACATTGAGTCATGTGGATAGCCCTGCTGCCTTCAAGATCAGAAGTTCATTTAGATTGTATGTGTCCAGGATAAGAAAGCTGGTCTGTAAGAAAATACCTTATGACTCTTCTCTTATTTTCTCTCTCTCTAGGTATTGATTGACTGGATTAATGACGTGCTGGTTGGAGAAAGAATCATTGTGAAAGACCTGGCTGAAGATTTATATGATGGGCAAGTCCTGCAGAAGCTGTTTGGTAAGAGGAGAGTTGACTGTTGCGGTGGATCTTTAATCACAGGTGGATGGACCCCCTACTCCTGGTTACAAGTTGTTCTCAATTCCCAGTGGTTCACCCGTAATGGAATAGGAATGTGTACAGTGTGAATAACAGACCAGTGGAGCCTTTAGATGTCTTCTCAAAATTGGTTCTATATGAATGAATGGCAGAGGGAGGCTCAATGACCAGATGGGGCTGCTGCCTCTTCCACTGCCACCCAGCAGTCAAGGTCCTCCACTGATTAGATGAAAAGATTTCACTATACACTGGAAAACATGGCTCACCCTCTCCACAAAACTGCATTTGTGGCGTCTGTAGGTATATTCACATGTATCTGGGTGTGTGTGATTGTCACCTATGAGTGTGTGTGTTTGAGCACGTGTGTGGGCCTCTGTGATCTATGAGTCTGTGTGTATGCATCTGTGACTTATGGGTGTGTGTGTGTGTGTGTGTTCCTGTACATGCCCTTCTCTAGATTGGGTGCAAGTGTGTGGGACTATGTGCCTGAGTGACCAGTCTCAGTGTCTGTCACCTCTGTGAAGGTGTGTATCCCTGTGTAGGTTCATGGCTATTCATGTGAAAATTAAGGCCATGGGAGAGGGAAAGGAGAATTCAGGGGTGATCTTAGTGTTGAAAAGACAAATTGAACTTGAATGAATTTGTACTTCCCCTCACTGTTCTCCATTTTTTTCTCTTGTCCAAACTTCTGCGCAGAGTTCTAGACTTTCATGCTTAATTGTCCAAGAGAAAATAATTTTTAAATTAAAGTTCTATATTTGGGGAAGAATACCGCCGAAGTGATGTTTCCTTCTCATTGTATCATATCAGGGAGGACATGATGTTAACATCTTATTATGAGTGATGTCCACCTTGATCATTTGGTTAAAGTGATGTTTGCCAGATTTCTTCACTGTAAAGTTATTGTTTTTCTCTGTAGTTAATTGATTTGGGAGGAAACAGGTTAAGACTTGCACATATCTTGTTTCTCAAACTTCTTTCACTAATTTCAATTGGTGGAGCAGGCTTGCCTCAATTAGTACTGTGGTCTAGTGAGGATTTTCTGTTTTCCTTATTCCTTCCACACTTATTAGTTGGAATTCTTCTGTAAGGAAACACTGTCCTCTATTCCCGTTATTTACAATATGTCAGTATGGACACAGGATACTTATTTTATACTATACATTATCATCCAATACCATCATTATTCATTTTTGCTGATATTCTTTCAGCTTTGACCCTTGGATGGCTCCTGCACACTTTTGACATGCTGCCTTTTTTTTTTTTTTTTTTTTTTTTAGCACTTTCTGGCATCGTAATATATACCAGGCTCATCTTCTGTTTTCCTTACTCTGGCCCTGTAATTAACCACTTCTTCAAGGAGCCCTGATTTCTTTTATTAGATATGTATTTAGAAATCAATATTTGGGCATATTAGTGAGTGGTGACCTTTTTTAAAGTACAGTTGACATACAGTATTATTAGTTTCAGATGTCCAGTATATGAGGTGATCATCCCATCTGAAATCTAGTACCCTCCTACACTATACTGTTATTCCAATATTATTGACTCTATTCCCATGATTATTTTGTAACTACCAATTTGTACTTCTTAATCCCTTTCACCTTTTTGACCCAAACCCTCTTCCATAGGGCAACCACCAATTTGTTCTCTAAGTCTGCTTCTATTTTCATTGTTTTTAGATTTTCACATATAAGTGGAATCATATGGTGCTTGTCTTTCTCTAAATTATTTTACTTTCCTTAATATCGTCTAGGTCCTTCCATGTTGTCACAAATGTAAGATTTCATGCTTTTTTATAACGGAGTAATATTCAATTGGACATACATACATATTTTGGAATAGTTTGAAAAGGATAGATATTCTTCTTTGGACGTTTGGTAAAATTTCACTTGTGAAGTCATCTGATCCAGGTCTTTGGTTTGTTGGGAGTTTTTTAAATTACTGATTGATTTTGTTATTAATTATCAGTCTGTTCAGATTGTTTCTGATTCAGTTTGGAAGCTTGTATGTTTCTAGAATTTTAACAATTTCTTTCAAATTATCCAATTTGTTGGCATATTTGTTCATAGTATTTCCTTGTAATTCTTTGTATTTCTGTGGTGTTAGTTGTCATTACTCCTCTTATTTCTGGTCTTATGTATCTGAGCCCTCCTTTCTTCTTCATGAGTCTGGCTAAAAGTTAATCAATTGTGTTTATCTTTTTGATTAACCAGCTCTTGGTTTGATTGGTCTTTTCTGTTGTTTCTTCTGACTATTTTCTTTCCTTCTGCTCTGATCTTTATTTTTTCTTTGCTTCCATTCACTTTGGGCTTTGTTTGTTATTTTTCTAGTGCCTTTTGGTGTAAGGTTAGTTTGTTAATTAAAGATGTTTATTGTTTGTGTAGGTAGGTCATCATTGCTATAAATTTCCTCCTTAGAACTACTTTCTTGATGTTCCATAGATTTTGGGTGGTTGTGTTTTCATTTTAATTTGTCTCAAGATAGCTTTTGATTTTCCCCCTTGATTTCATTTTAATTGATTTCTAGTTCCATATTATTGTAATAGGAGAGGATGTTTGCTATGACTTTAAACTTATTAAATTTATTGGGACATTTTGTGTCCTAACATGTGGTCTTTCCTGGAAAATGTTCCATATGCACTTGAAAAGAATGTATATCCTGCTACTTTTGGTTGAAATGTTCTAAAATTACCAATTAAGTACATCTGGTCTAATGTGTCATTAAATCCACTGTTTCTTTTTTATTTTCTATCTGGATTATGTATTCATTGATGTCAATAGAGTGCTAGAGTCCCCACTATTACTATGGATGTCTCCCTTTATATCTACAATATCAATATTTACTTTACTATGGATGTCTCCCTTTATATCTGTCAATATTTACTTTATATGTTTAGGTGCTCCTACATTGGGTGCATAAATGTTTATAAAAATTTTATCCTCTTCTTGGATTGATCCCATTCTCATTGCAAAATGCCTTTTTTTGTCTATTGTTACAGCCTATGGTTTAAAGTCCATTTTACTTCATATAAGTATTGTTGCCCCAGCTTTTGTTTCATTTATGTTTGCATGAATTGTATTTTTGCATCTTTCATTCTGTGTCTGCTTTTAATCTAACGTGGATCTCTTATAGGCAGCATATGTACAGGTCTTGTGTTTCTTTCCATTCAGCCACATTATGTCTTTTGATTGGAGCATTTAGTTCATTTACATTTAAAGTAATTATTGATAGGTATGTACTTATTTGTTTTTGTAGTTCTTTTCCTTTCTTATGGTCTTGCTATCTTATATGACTATCTTATATGACTATCTTATATGACTTACATGAGTATTATGTTTAGGTTCCTTTCTCCTTATTTCTTGATTATATTCTTTTGGTTGTTAGTTACCACGTGCTTCCCATATACCACACTATGTTTACAGCAGTCTAGTTTAAGTTGATGGTTGCTTTAGTTCAAACACATTCTAAAATCACTACAATTTTTACTCACATCCTCCATATTTGTTTTTGTCATTCTTTTTTATTTCTGTTTGTGGGTAGTCCTTAGTTTATTATTGTAATTACAAATGATCTTTCTACTTTTGTTTTTTAATCTTTTTGCTTTTACTGTTTGCCTGTCAGTGAGAATATTTTTCTCTCTGCTTCTTAAAGAAGTCCCTTTGTGGTGATGAATTCTTAAGTTTTTCTTTTCTGAGCAACTCTTTATCTCACCTTTGACTTTAAATGATAGCCTAGTCATCTTGGTTTTAGGTGTTTTCCTTTCATCCCTTTGACTATTTGTACCATTTCCTTTTGGCCTGCAATTTCTGTTGAGAACAGCTGACAGTCTCATGGGAATTCTCTTGTATGTTACTATTTGCCTCTTGCTGCTTTTAAGATGGAATCTTTGTCTTTATTATGATGTGTCTTGGTGTAAGCCTCTTTGGGTTCATCTTGTTCAGGGCTCTGTGCTTCCTGAACCAGTATGTATATTTTGTTCATTAGGTTGGGGAAATTTTTAGTCATTATTTCTTCAAATAGGTTTTCAATCCCTTGCACTCTCCCTTCTCCTTCTGGTAACCCTGTGATGTTATCCCAAAGGTCCTTAAACTGACCTCAATAAAAAAAAAAAAAAAAAAAAAAGTCTGCTTTTGCTTGTTTCCCACTATCTTTTCTTACAAAGTGCTGATTTGATTCTCTGCTTCATCTAATCTGTTATTGATTCCACCTAATGCATTCTTCATTTCTAAATGCTACTTTTTATATTTTCTAAGTTCATCTATTTTTTTCCCTAAATGCATTGAACATTTTTTTTATAACTAGTTTTTGAACTCTGGTAGATTGCTTATCTTCATTTTATTTACTTCTTTTTATGTATTAGGTAGATAGCTACATCTCCTATCTTGGAAGAGTGGCTTTATGTAGTAGGTATCTTGTGGGACATAGTCTTTCTTGTCTCCTGATCCAGGTGCTCCAAGGTATCCCTTGTGTGGGTTGTGCATGCCCTCCTGCCATATTGATTTTAGCACCTCAGTGTGGTTGATCCTCAGGCTGACAGGCTAAGAGTGCTAGTGATGCCTATAGTGGATGAGCTGATGTGCAGAAGGCTGACCCCACAGAGCAGGAGTCACTTTAGCAGGGCTCTTGTGCCAAGCAAATCTGTCCTTTACGTGTGTCATTTGTGGAGCTGGTTGGGTGTTGCTATGATACAGTCTAAAGCCAGCCACTAGGTGTGTTGGTTCTGGAGTCTCTTGGGAGGGGCTCCATTGCAGGCCAAGGTCAGCTGCTGCTTGTGCTGCACTTAAGGCCATGGAGTAGGAGCTACAAAGTGATCTGTGGTTGCTCATTGCATGTGCTGGCCTTGCAGGAACTTTGGAGAGGCTATTCTCCAAACCAAGGCTGGTTGCCACTTCTACTCAGCTTGGGACGCTTCGGTGGGCACTACCAAATGAGATGAGGCCAACCGCCACTTGTGCTGG